AAAATATTTGCATTGCATATATATATATATATATATATATATATATATATATATATATATGTTTGTGTGTGTGTGTGTTTGTGTGTGTGAATGGGCACCTCGAGGGGGTCTAATGGTTAGCAGGCTTGTCTCGCTAGATCAGTTACGACTGAGTAGCGATTTCGACCCGCACTGAGCGCCCCATATTTTCGTCCTTGTGCCACATCTAAGCTACGCTTGGAAAAACACTTGGGCGCCTCGAGGCGGTGTAAAGGTCAGCAAGCTTGTTTTGCTAAAACCATTACGACTGTGTAGTAAATTCGCTCCTCACTGGGTGCCCCATACCTTCGGCCTTGTGCCACATCTGAGCTACGCTTGGAAAATCACTATATATGTGCGTGTGGAAGTAGTAATTGCACATCGTTAGTATTTGAATAAATGCAAAAATTTTAATTTTTTCCAAATAATTGTCAACACTATAATTCGGTTATGATAATTTCAATACTTCGGTTTAATATTCCTTTTTTTAAAGCATTTATATTTTTTTTAAATTGTTTAATAGAAACTTTGAAATTTGAAGTTTATATTTGTGTGTATATTTTTGAAAATTGTTGTAACTTAGGAAGTGTTAATGATTTAGAAATTACCAAAACGGAGGCTAGAAATGAAATTGTAATCTTTATAACATCAACAAAATAAAATACTCGCCAGCGGCGTGAAGTAGATAAACCACTGCTAGTGTTGAACAACTTAGACAGCATATTACAATACCTACTTGCCTCCCCACGCGGTAGGATGCAGCACAAGGCCAAATTTAATGTGGGTAAATACGAGCCCATGTGTCGGGCAATAAATTGCCCGTAGACCCCACATACGCAGGATCGGGTATCTGTCTACTGTCTGTCTTTGGGCAGAGAGTTCGACAGAGCAAGAGCTTCCCACGCTCACGCTGCCAGCTTAGACAGCATATTACGATATTTATTTCTGTAAAAAATATAGAAAATGTGGCACAAGGCCTAAAATAGAGGACGTGGAAACGTACGGTCTTCATCTATCTTAATTTTAATCTTAGCTAGCCACAAGCACTGACCCAAACATATAAAGACTATTCCTAACACCAAAACAACACATTCTTACTAACCTTTGTTACTACATCTACCATAATACCTCATTGTCTCTATGAAAAAAAAATAGCTCCCATATGTACAATTCTTTGTCTGTGGGAGGGAGGGGAATAAAAACAATAAGATTAAAAATCCCCAGTGTGTATTTGCAATATGTGTATAATCTATTTACAATAAACTAAACAAAATAATGGCAGAAACATCTGTTAACTGGACGAAATCAATTCGGAACTCTAAAAAAAAAATATAAAAACCACATTCATTCATCCCTAGCACTCACACGGACACGCACTCATTCAAACACAACAACAAAAACAAAAAAAAAACACACACACAGGCAAAAAAAAAAACAAAAAAGTGTCCCGTATCCACCAGAGAACTGACATCACTGACCACCTAACGAGAAAAAAAAATAGGGACAGAAATAAAAGGGGCCAATGAGCAAACGCACTATAGCTATGTTTAGGCAGCATATTACCCCTACTTACAATGGTGTTCATCGGATTTATGAGGATTGGGACATACCAAGGTAGTGTTCATAGGTATGTTATATAATAAAAATCTATTGTTTTTTTTTCATAACACTTAAATGTATACCTTTTAAAAAATTGCTAAGTGTACTCTGACATTATCATTTGCTCTTAAGTGTGCCGTTGATTAAAGTGTTTAAGTTAATGAAGGAATAAGCTCATGGCGAGTTCTATAACAATAAAATATCCGTAGAAATTCCCCTATAGCATCGTCAAATATTTGAGCTAAACAACTTTGCAATAATAATCATAAATATGAATGCTGATCGCCATTTAAGGAAGGGGGCACAAATGAAAAGATTTGAAATTGACAACGATGTGAATTAGACGTTAATAATTTTTAATGTGAACGTCCCCCGGTGTCGCTGCGCCAATCGTGACGTCTGCCTGGCCGCGTGACGACCAATGTGACTTGGTATTGGTCGCGGCACCAAATGTGACGTTCTAACCTTTTGCTGATTAGGATGGGAATCTGGTTAGATTCGGTATCAGCCTTGTCGTTCCCATCTCGCCTCCAACGTCTGGTTACCGAAGTAACTGTTTTGATTTCTAGTCTAATGTTGTGATTTGATCTTAGGTAGACGAAATCAATCAGTCGCCGTGCCGTAATGCAAGCTGAGTCCGGCCAAGGGTAACACCACACAAGTATATGTAAAAGAAAAGAAAATAATAATTCGAAAAGTTCAAATGTGTTAAAAATAGGATAACAATACTTTATATCTGGGTGCTGAATACAGGACCGCATCTTCTTCCCAACCCACTCGTTCTTCAAAAATAAATTGTTCTTGATTAGAAGATGAGTCGTGATTTGCGTGGAATCTTTCAAGTCAGCTATCTGCGAGGCGGGACGAGCTCAATCCAACTCAGCTGCGAACTGCGAACTTAACTCAACTGCCTCTCAACTGGAACTCAACTCAACTGGAACTGGAACTGAACTCAACTCAACTGCTTTTCACTCGCTGCGACTCTGCTTATATGGACGCCGACCAAAGCCGGGGTGGGATTGTCGGGGTTTGAGGTTCCTTGAGAATTCTAAATCCACAATCCACTTCTTTGTTTTCGGTCAGGAAAATTTATTATTTTCCATTTTTGGAAGTCTTTTCGTCCTCCCACCTTCTTCTGTTCTCATATTGGTATCTCACCATACCCTCAGAAGGTGTCAACGGGTTTCCCCTCTCTCTCTCTCAGTGGCATCTCACACCTATCCCTTCAAGGGGGGGCGCAACAGGCCTCCCCTCCTTCTTCACATGATTACCTCCGCCTAACGCTCACGCCACCATTCAGCCAATGGGCGCTCAGCGGCGTGAGTGTGGCCAGAATAGACTCGGTTTAAAAAATCTTGCTCAAACAAAAAAAATTACCTTCCTTTCTCTTTTTTTTTGTCTTTTCTTTCTCTTTCTTTCCTTCTGCCCAACAACGAACCCTTGGTCTCTTATTTTAGCCAAATGTCACTTGGACTTTATCACTCGGGGCCTTCGCCAAACAAGTGGGTGGTCAATTAGACGTATTTGTATTCTGTTGCTAATTAACTGTTCCAATAAAATAGTCTCGCTATCATAGCCAGTCCCGACAATAAACAGATGCTTTTTGCAAACGACCCTTCCGCAGATAACTAATGGTTTAGTCTTTTGTTTTTGTAATTCTGCGGTTGATCCAATCGGACATTTTGGTTTCGGTCAGTGCGTGCTTAATCAGCATTATCTCTTAGCACCCTGCGGGAGGTCCAGAAGACATCAACTTGAAATCATTGCCATGGGCAGATTGGATATATCTTACTCGCCGCCCCGTAACATAAATCAGATTAAATCCAGTATCTTCCTTTCTCGACAATGGAAATAAAAATTTTACCACTTTTCTTTGTTAGAAAAATAACATCGCTTAGTGTCCTGTTCGTGATGGCTTCTTATCACCTAAATTTAATTCTTGCCTTTTCTCTTTTTTCATCTTTCTTTCTAGCAAGCCAAATAGTGTCACACTAATGATAATAGCATAAATTACTGTCTTCCAGAAATGTCACTCTTAAAAAGAGAATAATTTGCAATATTGTAAATAAAAATCATTTTCACTTTTCCGAAATAAAATAGAAATATTAAAAAAAGAATCGTATGATTCATAGAATTGTTTGACGCAGAAATATTTTTTTTTTGTTTTAATTCCTTTGGCAAGCCATTTGTTTCGTTGAATCATTGTTCCCATAGAAAAACTGTATTTATAAGACATATCCTTTTGTTCATAAATCAGTGTAAATGTAGTTTTACAGAAGTCACACATTTAATATCGATTGCTATTAAGCAACATTTAAATGGATGCTTAATTTGTAAAGATAATAAACAAATTAATTCATAAAAATTGGCATTTTTATTAAAACGATTGTTATCTGGAAATTATATTTAAAATATCTTAATCATTTTAATTTAATGATATTCTCACCAGAATCGAATTTTCATCGATGAGCGATATATTTTTAATTCTGCTCTTGCTAATAACTGTATTTTAATATTTTATTATAACGAAATCACATATTTTAATATTGTTTGAATCCATGCGTTAAAAAGACAATTACAGAAATGTAATCAAAACATTAATTTATACTGTCTTTTTCTTTATGGCTGTGGATGAATACATGGAGGTCAACCATGTACTCTGAATCATGGCGTCAGTGTGAATTCTACAGTACTATCCTTACTTGCATATGTACTTCCACTGTTTTGAATTCATTATTGTCTTTATCCAAGACTGGTTGCCAACCAAGTCTACAGATTCATGGCTTGTCCAACTGTTCAACCATTTTTAGATATTATTGTATTCAGAATTTGCAACCCTGGGCTGTAGACTGTCTTGCTATTTACCGATAGCTGATACGAGAAGAGATGGATTCATAAATTTCCCAAGTGCATTTGGATGTAAGTGAATGTAACAAACTCCACTAGAATTCGAACCCAGCTCACAGATTCGTCAATCCGAGCTGGGATCCACCATGCCTCTATTTTTTTCTATATCGATATTAAAATGCAAAAAGATGATATTATTCTTCGACTGATATGTCCTTTCAGGACGTGGGTACATATGACTCTCCTTAACTTCCGGTTTTGTTTCTCAATGTAATCTTTGGCAATTTACGATCTCTGTTTTTCCCTGTTCTGATATACATTCACAGACAGCTGTTAAGTAGGTTACTCTATTTTTCTTACCTGCTTCTCTGGCTTTCATTAATTCCTGTGTATATTAGATTCTCCAAGACCATTATCCTCATTATATACGCGATAATGTATAATCTTCATTTTCTTCATATTATCGAAAAAAAAATCATAGTATCCTCAGCATTCATCGGTTGAGCAGCATCTTTGCTGTTTTTTTTATGTATGGCTTACGGCCACTTCATGTTGAAAAACCAGTTCCCGTATGATCACCGAAGTTAAACAACATCGAGTCTGGTCAGTACCAAGATGGGTGACGGCTTGAGAATATCAGGTGCTGTAAGCTTGGATGTGCTGATAGTATAGTGGACAATGGCATGGAATTTGTTAATCGGAGAACCTTTTCCAATTCCCGCTGGATTTGTTATATTCTCTTACTCGCAAATATCCTTAGGGAAGGTGTGAACCCACCTCTTCTCTCCTCCGCTATGGGTTAATTAGTAAGGCGTGTGTCACTAAATCGTTATCATCTCAAAAGAATTTCTATTGTTCGAAAGATATTTTCAGGCTTTAAATAACCTAAAATCATTGTGCATCCTTAGAAAACAAATCAATCAATCTTCATGCGTGATCAAATTTGATCACCTTTACTGATTTAAGAAGTGATAGAATATTGCACATCGGTTCAACAGGACTTTATCTGTAACGGAGTTTTTCTATCCCTTGATATTTTGCTTACTTTATGGAAGAAATATCCTCTTATTCATTCGGTTTGAATTTTACGACACTACACAAATCTATGAACCTTTTTGATTCTGACACTGTCAAGATATACTTGTATTTTGATCAGTATAATTTGCAGATAACAATGCATTTTATCTTTGTTTTACTAAATGTTCACTGGATACAAAGCCAAATAATACTTAAAGTTAGAGGGTTTCTTAATGAGGTAGTTTTATGCCGTAAGATGAGGAAGCAAGTAATGATTATGAAGAATTGTATGACAGATGAGGTTGACACTTGACTTGAAGAGTTTAAGATAGTATTGATGGGGTAAGCGACTTTTCCACAAAGTCCGGAAAAGCAGAATGCACTTCCCTTCTTACGAAAGGAATCGGGAGGGAATGAAGAGGATTCAATCCTATATACATGGTATGGAGTGTCTTAGCTGTAGAGCTGAACTGTTGTAAGTAAGGATCGTAGACCTATGAACATTTGTCATGGCAATAGCGATAAATTAGCAATAGGCGAATGAAAATTCATCTGTGGGGAAACAGGCAGTATGACTGACAATAATGTATCACCCACAAGAACATATAAATGTCTTTGAATTCTATCAACGAACGGAAGTGAAGATTACGCAGTTCCAGACCAGATAGGACATTCCAAGGCTGACTAGACACTGATGATGTCCTCCTGATTATTCTTGTTTTGGATTCACTCCTTAATAATATTTCTGTCCTCTAATTCCTTCTAAATCCAGCAACTCTTTGCTGTCTTCTATGGGGTGAATTCGATATTTTTATATATATATATAT